TGGCCATACTTAAACATATATACAAATATTTAGTTGTGAATGTGAGTGAAATATTTGCATGCGGAAGTGACCACACAACCCACACACACACAGAGACTCATTTATGGCATAATTAATTAGAAATTATACGCGTTCTGCTTGTGTAATTTGCATATTAGTCGGCCAGCAGTCGGCCAGCAGTTGGCCAGCAGTCGGCGCCCAGAGGGGACAGAGAGAGAGAAGGAGAGAGGTGATGGCATGTCACAAGCTGACGCTTCATTGCCACCACAGAACATTCCACATACGCTCCTCTGCAGGGCATCCGTGGATGGGTGGGTACCCACCAGTCAGCAGTCAATTAAAGTGCATTTTTTGAGACAAGATATCGGATATATCTGCCAGGCCTGTCATTAGTAATTTTATTTATCCTCCATTGCTCTCGCTCTGTTGTATTCCCTGGAAAATAGTTTCGTGGTGCTTCACCCACCATTAATGAAATCTTTGGCGGAAGATCCAAGTAATTGCCGGCGCATCAATACATCTCTGACAAACATCTGCGGTTGGGTTTTGGGTGGGGGAGGGTTCTGTCCTTGGGGGGCCTGTCCTTTGCAGCGGCAAACGGCAAAATCCGAAATGCAATTTTCCACTTGTTCGCTCCGCTCCGCTCGTCTGTCGCTTTCACAGACCAATTCGATCTGACGTTTGTTCGCTTGAATTTAATGCCATTAAATGTTTTCGCTGATTTTGCAGAATCGGTTTCTATTATTCATAGATTACTACAGCCCCCCGGCCCCACCCACCGCACAACCATTAGCCTGCCACCAAGCAAGTCTTTTGTTTTCGTTTGCCAAAAAACGTTGTATCGGAATCGAGAAATGCGAAAAATACGAGCAAAGTAATCAAGTTTCCCGCGGGGGTTGCCCACTCCTTAAAATGTAACAAATTCGTGACAAACGAAGTAGAAACTCAACCCGGAACCCTGTTGGCGGGGCGGGAAGGGGAGGGAGTGCTCTCTGGGAAATACTCGAGTGAAAGGAGTGGAGGTGTTGCCGGAACTGTTGCTTAAGTAAAGTTTATTTGATGGGCGCGTGTTTCATTTGGAAACCCCAGATACCTTGTCTCCCCCCTGCCAGCTCTTTGGGGACCCTGCTCATAACTTATTTAACCGAAATGCCCAGAAATAACATTTGTGCTTGGCATAACTAATGGCTTTAAAGCGGCCCACACCCCCCTGACGCGGCCGAGCACCGCATATCTTGTAGATTCCTGCGGCGTATTTATTTCTAGAAAAAAAAACAAGATAGAAAGGGTAGCCGCCTCGCATGCCGCAGCCCTGGATGCCCTTACAGATCCATCGTTCTATATTGATATTCTATAGTGCCCAAAGTGATTCCAAAACCTGGTCAAAATCGAATACACCCGCTTTGCGAGGGTATATAAAAAAAAAAAACTTGTTAATGGCCTGTGGTTACAACTGTCAAGGCACGTAACTAGGCGGTGGTGGTTGGTCTCTGGGTGGGGGCAACCTGAAAAAGTTTGCTCTTTGAATCTTCCTTCTGCCCGTTCCAGCCGTCGGCAGACCTTAGACCCCGTTGAGCATCATAATCCGAACCACTTTCAGCAGCTAATAAAGCTCTCACCTATAAATAATTTACAATTTATCATAAATTATCACAGAAGCAGGGCAACATAGAGATGGAAGTCGTGGATAAAAAACGAAAAATATCCATGACAAATTTTGTAATTAAATGTAATGAAAAATCCTGAAAAATATTATTTATTTCCCCTCGAAAACCGACTAAGTTGGCGCTGGTGCTAATGATGATTAAGTGTGCCACATTCGCGCTGCCTTCACCTACGTATCCACCCCACCTGCCACTAGACAAAGTTTCGAGTTATCAAAACGCGAAAACCCGCAAAAATGTATTAAACTTGTCGCGGTGGCAGGTAGCTCCACAGCCATGGAAAGAAAGAGAGAGAGAGAGAGAGTGAGAGGTGGTTGAGAGGAAGGCAGAGGTAGCGGTGTGTCTAGACTGCTTACTTAATAATAATTTGCCAAACAATATCAACAACAAACAAACGAAGGAACAAACAAACAAACAAACAAACAGGAGGCGAAAGGCATCTCATTTTAAGAGCCCGAAAACACGAGGAGAGAATCGGTGTCTGTGGGAGGGTAATTCGCAATATTTGCTGAAATTTACACCAGCCAAAAGAGGGAGGTGCGGGTCCTAGTATCAGGATGTTGGATGTTGGTATTAAAGAGAGAGAGAGAGAGCATGTCTTGAATTTCAAAAATAAAACAAAATATACCAACAAACATTGTCTGGCACTGTCACACACACTCCCTTTCTCTTTCTCTCTCACTCTCTGTGTTTGTGTGGCAAGCTGATCAAATGGACACCGGATGCACAAGGGGCAGAACAGGGCAGGGCAGCCTTTTGCAGGCGAACAGACAACCAGACAACCGGAAGGAAGCTCTACCGATACTTGGCAGCTTTTGTCACATTTTCAGCAGATTCTGTGCATAAGCCAGTCCAATTTCTAGCTAGATTACCACTCGTCATTCCTTCGCCTCGGCTAGGATGCGAAACTTTAAAAGATACACCCCCCCCACCGAATGCCACCGCGCCACGGAGCAGTGTGTGCGTGTGGCGGCGGGACACGCTCCGGGCAAAAGCCAAACCCGGAAAAGATGATTAATTCAAAGTTATTAGAAACCTGACTGAAATTTATAATGCCCCCAGCGCCGAGGGTATGGATGGGATACCGCAAGGCAGGGGCCCACAGAGACAGAAGGTGAAATGACTCTCAGTCAAGAGCTGCACTCGAAAGGTGCCACCGTCACACCGTCACTGTGACTAGTCTGTGCAGCTGCCTCTGTCGTGTCTTGGTTGCTCCATCTACGAGTATATCTGTTGCCTCTGCTGCTATAGCTGCTGGAGCTTCCTCTTCTTCTGGTGCCTCTGAATCCGTATCTGCAGCTGCCACTGCCTCCATAAGTATGCAACACTTTCTGACTGGCTCAAGCCACTTGACGGTGTAGTTGGGAGGAGATGCCAGTTCTGAGCGAACTGCCAGTTGAAAACCCCCGCTCCCGTCCCTTCTGCCATGAAAGGGGTTAATCAACACGACGCTTAATTATTTCTTCCGTTCTTTTGTCAGCCACGTGGTCGCTCTTCATTATGAATATTAGTATTTGTTCGGGTTAAGAGCATTGCGTTTGCCACCTCTCCAAAGAAACAAATTGCTTATCAACAGGAGAAGAAGCAGCAGCCACAGGGAGAGAAGAGAGAAGACACCGCAAAATGCGGTTGAGCTGCAGAACCATTAATTTGTTTGTGGCCCCCCCCTGCTGATGCTGCATCCTCTCACCGGACATGTTCTGGGGGGGGAGTGGAAGTGGAAGTGGTAGTGGGAGTGTGAAGCCACTGGGAATCCTTAGACAATTTGAAATTAATATTTAAATGGCTATGCAAATTCAGTGGCAGCTGAAAATGAAAATGAACAAGTGCCTGTGGAAAATACTGCGGTCGCAGCGGAAGGAAACTATTTTCAACTTCACTGAGCAGCAGATACTTTCCGCTTGCACCCTGTACCCACCTCTGTCTATCTGTCTATCTGTCTCTCTTTCTCTCTATTTATTTTTTCTTGTTTTTTTTTTCCATGTGAAGCCAAAAATGAGTCCAAAAAGCCAAAAAAGTGCAAATAGGAAATAAAATTTAAAAGAAATAATTAAAAATTTAACTTACAGCAAAACTTAAGCCCTGGATGGAATGTTGTTATCTAGAAATAATTATAGCAATAAACATATATACTTTTTGTATGCAAAATATTAATTCTATGCGAACTTCTTCTCTCACAACAAGACAAAAATAAAATACTCAAAATGCCATTTTATTTCCCCAAGCAAAAACATAATACAAATACTGGGAACAGTTGCTGCTCTTCACAACTCAAGCGATTTTCACTCAATTCGCTTGAGCTTAACCATGGCAGCTCTTTCCCCTCTAAGAGAGCGCTGTTAAGCGACTCTCCAGCGTCTTGTGCCGTAAGAGCAGGCGGCTTTGAGTGCTTGTTGCTGCTGCTGCTGCTGCTGTTACACCGCGGTAAACAACATATGGCAAAACATGGAAACAGACGGCAATATCTTTAGCCGGAATCGGTCAATATTGTATGAACGCAAACAAAGGAAACTATTAAAACCGTGTTAAATGTATTGACTCTTGCAATGCTCGAACAAATAGGTATTGCTATGAATATATTGCATAAAATGTAACCGAAAGATGGAAAAGAGAAATGAAGACTTTGGGCTCGCCCGCTCAATCTCTGGATCGGGGGTTTTTTTGCATGAAATGCAATGAAGAGAGCGCTCTTAGGTAATTCCTTACCCTATATAAATACAACTTGAAATTGGCAGCTGCCAGCTGGACGGCTCTCCATGGCTCCACTCATTGGAGCATAATATGCGACTACCGCAAGAGAGCCCGCCAGCTCATACGAATACACTCTCTGGGCATAGTATTTCACTTTCAATTGCCTTTCTCATGCTCTGTGCCTATCGCACTTTGAGTGTTGTGTTGCTCCTGGGTTCTGGCGCTGTGCATTTCCTGCTTTCACTCACTGTTAACGGATCTGCTGGCCCATTAACAGCTGTAGCTCTTAACAGCAGCGGCAGCTAACAGCGCGCTGCTAACATTCTGGCAATAACATGGCTTTGCTTTTGCTTTTGCTCTTGTTCTCGTTCTCTTTTTGTCTGCGCTTTGTCTGTTCTTTTTTGCCTCATTAACTGCAAGCGGGGGGCCGAAGTCGATTCGGCAGAGCTGCCGCTTCGTGTGGGCACCGATGCAGCTTCGGCTTCTTGAGCCAGAACCAAACGGCAGGCACATTCGGCTCGAGCTGACTTTGAGTGCAACTGCAGTGGCTGTGGCGGCAGCAGCGCTGCCAGCGTCGAGTGCAACTATTGCTGGCGCTGCTGCCGCTTCCGTTCTGGGCGAAGGCATTAGGCTGCCACAATCCGCAATCGCCATCCGCCCAAGAAGCGCACCTACTGCAACCGACTGCAAGTGCCGCAAGTGCCTCACGCCTGCCAGCGCTGCTTCTGCCGCCTGCTCCTTCAGTCTCCAGCCGACTGCGTTTCCGTGCGGTTCTAGTCGTCGTCCAGCCCCACGGGTTTGTACCCAGTTTGCCGTTAGATCTCGTCGTTGTTGCGCTTTTAAGCCAAGTTCTCGCCTCTGCTCGGCTTTCTGCTCCGCTCGCGGAGAGATCCTTTGCTGCCGTTGCTCCTTGCTCGCGTTTAAGTTGCGCGCGCGCTTTTCCACCCAGTGCCGATATCAGTGAACAAACCCGAAACAGATCTCAAAACAGTGTGTGAAACAGCCCGAAAGTGAAATAACTGACCTTGGACTTTGCAGTGCGTGGATCAGCTTTGCTTCTTGTGTGCAGCGCGGCTTTGGGCCCAAAAGGAACCACAGAAAAGGCAGAAGTGCAAGACATAAAAACATAAGCATTAGCCAGCCCGAAAATAAAGAGTTTTAGTGCAATAAAAGCCAACAGAAAAAGAAAAGGTATTGCCATCTGGAACTGGAATTTGAGTTTAATTTTTTTTTTATTCATATTACTTAATTAAGTTTAATCGATTATTTCAAGAAATTAGTTTTAATTATTATTTTTAAGTAAAAGTTCAAATAAAATAAAATCGAATATTTAATTTCAATAAATTTGTTTGCGTTTTTATTTATTTGTCCATCCTTAAATGAGTTTTCTTTGCATATTTAAATAAAATAAACATTTTTTAAAGTGATTTCTTTGCACCACCAAAATTGCACAAAACATTTTGATATATACTTTGCTCGTATCACTTTGAAGCAGAAACATTTGACCAGGCAGAACCCCAGAGAACTCATTAGTTGGTTTTGCTCTTCAGAGAATAAATATGCATTGGGTTCGCCTTTTAATCCATTGGAGGAAACTCGATGGGAAAGTTGCACTTTGGAAACAAATTCAAAACTAAGTGCCAGGACACCGATGTGTACCCCAGAATGCCCAGAAACCTCCACAACCTCATCTCATCCAGGGCATCCACAATATATCCACAGCATCGTCGTCATTGTGAGGGATTGCTGGTGGTATTTTGGTACCAAATATCCTAACCGAAACCACAACATTCGACGTCAATCAGCAAAGCAGATTGTTGCAGCTTGTTGCTACTGCTGCTACTCTTGCTACTGTTGCTGCTGTTGCTGATTGTTGTTGAACAACAACATTTGCAGTGCCTCGGGGCTGTAGAATACAACTACTGCTAGCCCACCCGCATAGATTCCCTCCCCTACCCAACGTGGCTGGTTCTGCTGTTGGTTGTCTAAGCATGTTGCCACTTGAGGTAGCTAACAGAGTTTTCCCTGCCAGATGTGCACCGTTTCCGTTCAACTAGCAAGACTAGCCAGAGCAGACTGCCCCACAACAATGTTGCCAACTGCATCCACTCCGCCCTGAAACAGTTTTCACTTAAATAATCCACATTTTCCAAGTCTTTAATTGATGGAAATCCATCTCTCTCACTCTCACTCTCTCTCTTCGGGCGATTAAATTTCTGTGCAAGATAAGCCAATGAAATTAATATAAAATTCTGCTCCTGGTTTGATCGATTTCCACATTTTTTGTTAAGGCAATAATTGCCTGGAAAATGGATTTTTGGTTAGTTTTTCAGTCGATAAATCTGAACATTCAATTTTCCCATCCACACCTCCGAGGCGGCTGTCCCCCCCTCCGTTATTTGCATTAATACTCAAATTGCCAGTTACTTTATCTTATATAAATCTAGCCTCCTTACCGATTTGCTCTTTTACGGCCTTAAGTTGTGGGCATTAGCTCGTAAATTAAGCCAACTGACACACGGGACACCGGGCAGTCGATTGGACTGGAGCTGTCAGTGTCCGTAAGGCGAGGGATACCGACAGACCAAACGACCAGCCGACCGAACCATTCATTAATTGCAGACACTAAAAAAAAATACTGCGAAAATGAAACAGCCTCACAACAGTCTGTCTGCCACAGTCTACTGCCGTCTCCCAACAAATGTTGTGTGTGCTTGGCCTGTGGCTGGTTTTATTTGTCGAAGAGGGGTACGTATCAGGTGATTTTCTTCGTTTATCACGCGACGTGTTGGAGATTGTGGGCCATGTGCCCTGTGCTGGAAGGAGGAAGTGCAATGCGATCCCTACTGTTAGCCAGAAGGAAGTGAAATGTGATCGTGCCCACGCATAACATGCAGAGTTGATGACTGGAAAGTGCATACATTAATACTTCCTTTAGCTCGTATACCAGCAACACTTTCAAAACAAAACCATAAGCAGATTAGAAGGGGGAAAGCCTAAAGCCTATAAAGTATACCTTTGTCAGCGATCTATTTGTGTGATCCGAATAATGCCATTTACCTAACGTCTCGCCTTGGAGGTTATTGCCATTGAACATTGATTAATGGCAAAACATTGTGGGAAGGTGCTGTGATACACCCCTGTAACGAGTATGGACTTGTCGTTCACAGTTCCTGTCCGTTGAGTGCTTTTCATAACCGACAACGACACTCTCAACGGGCGTTAACCAAAGCAAAGCCAAGCAAAGCAAAGCATTTAGGCTGAATGTGTAACTGCCAATCTGTCATCGTGTGGACCGGCAACATAAGCTGCCACTGCCACTGCCACTGCAACAGCAAACACAACCATCTACGAGTGGCAACCGCAAAATCAATGCTTCAACTAATAGGGAAATAATTAATTTCCACTTTTGGGCCACGTCAGGCATTTTGTGTTGATAATTAATTCGGCAGTCGTTTGACGGCTTTTTCCTCTTACCGCAAATCTTGTATCTGTGTCTATAATGAGAGCTCCTGTATTCGTCCCTGTATATGCAGATGCAGCTGCAGCTGCCTGACTTTTAGTTGGCAGTTTTATTGTGTGGCCCAGTTTCGATTTGTGTCTCATCCTGTGATATTCCTTTGTTTTCTTGCAGCTATTCCCTGCGTTGCGTCGTCTCTGCTTTCGATTTACCAGGTAAGTTGCACAAAAGTCACTGATTAGCAGCAGAATGAGGGGCGGCTGCTGGGGCTAAGGACATTCACTGGAGCATTCAATGAGCATTCTCTTTTTTGGGCGGGAGGGGAACCAAAAGTCGGGGGCAAGTGGCAACGATGATGCGCTTTTATGATAAATGATTTGCGATTTGTGTGCATTCGTTTGAGTTTTATAGACGTTTCAGCTCCATCGTAAAAAAAAAAACGGTTCTAGCGGCAGTTGCAGAATCAAATGAAACTGCACGGAAAATTGCCATTCAAGGGGCCAGACCGAGGGGAGCAATAGGGCTGCCTGCAGTGGCCTGATGGTGGCATTTGCATGGACTTTTAGCATTGAACGATTTTTTTTGCTTTTAATGCCTCACCAAAAGAACTATTCCACATCAATGTTGCCAGCGTAAATCTTGCAACTTTGCAACACGATTCACGATTCAGAACGGATTCAGAAAAACACAGCCAACAGTGGAAATCTTTTCTATGGAAATGGAATGGAAATAATTTTAAAGTGATTTTTAATCCATTTAAAGAAACTAAGAATAGAAAATCAATCATCACCAATCCATCAATCAATTAATGAAGCAGAAATTGAGTTAAAAGTGGAAAACTACAACCAAAAGAAATGAAAAAATATAATTTGAGAAAACAAAACTAAACGCAGATGAAAAATATTAATTTTCACTCCCAACCACAACAAGTTCAAGTGGAACTTTTGCAGCGCGCATCCATCCATCAAAGAGGATTGTGGGTTGATCGATTGCAATATTCGCCACCTGCGTGGTCTTGCCCCCAGCCAGCATTTGACTGCATTACGTGCCATAACGAGTTATAAGTACTCAAGGGTCTTACGCCAGTGTTTTTCCACTTTCATATTTCTTGTTGTGTTCAAATCGTGTACAAAGGGTTCAAAAGGTCGCACCAGCCATCCATCCGAGTGAAGGAGAAGTGACAAAGAAGTCACAGCAAGTATCATGTTATCCCCCCTCTTTTGAAAGGACATGTCTGAACGGCGGGGGGCGGTACTGGGCTGGGCTGGGCTGGGCACACGCTCAGTGTCCTTTCAATTGCTTTAAAATGCAGCAATTAAACCGCAATTTCTATAAAATACGCCTCGCAGTACCAAAGAAAACAATTAAGCAGGAGCAGGAGACGGGAGACAAGCGACAGAAGCAGGAGTCAGCATTGAGAGCGACTCTGAGGCCATGACAACAATTACGAGATCCATTTAACTTTGGCAGGATGCGAAGAATGCGACACATGTCGCCAAAACGCAGCGGGTTGGCACTCTGTGGCACGAAGCAGAACAAAACAGGGTTGCAACGTACGGGAGCAGCAGCAGCAGCAGCAACAGAGTACACGGGGCAGGCTCACACACCGACACGGGACACAGTCGCATTCATGTCCTGGCCCTCTGTTGAAAATACAGCAAGCAGAAGAATTTTCCAAGAATACTTCTCCATCGCTAAAAGCGCACAAATCCTTGCAGAATATGAACCAGAACTGGCGGCAGGGCCAGGTCTCCGAGGAGGAGGAGGAGGAGGAGGAGGAGGACAGACAATCGGGCACAGGATGTTTTTGCGCTCATTATGCGCCAGCTGCAGGACCATGTGTGTGTGCGTGTGTGTGCGTGCGTTTGTCTCTCTGTGTATCCCTTTGTTGATTCTTGGCATAAACATCGGGTGAAAGGAGCCAAGTGAAAGCAGCAGCACCAGCGGCAGCACTCCGGATACCCTTTCCCAGTACGGGTTACCCTGATATCTCGATCTCTAAAATATATACGCATGTCGGTTATAAAAGTCATACAAGCAGCACTACACCCCCCCTATCGCAGCGGTTGTAAGTATCTTTTATGGATCATTTTTAATGCGGTCCTGTATCGCTTTGTGAGTGGTTCAGCCGGTTGGAGTGCTCCCGTAAAATGGCAAACAACTTCTGAATTCATTTCTATTAAACTGTTAAAATTCATAGCCCGCATATCGTTTATGAACCAGCTGCAAACGAGTGGCCATTAAATGTGAATGACAATTGTATTTTGCAAATTGGGAAAAGCGGCGCTTCTGAACACCCCAAACATTAAGGGTATACACACTTGCACCAGCCAAAGGCAAAGAATGTTTCGCTTATGTTTTGCATGTAAATAAATAAACGTGATTCATGGCCCGCTCGCCTCTCTGCCACACAGCTTGTCGCATTCTTTCAGAGTGCTTTATTCGCAGGTATGTGTGTAATTGAGTTTCACTTGAGGAACAGCCAGGCCAGCCCATATCTCCGCCTCCACCATGCCACTGTCTGACATTGACTTCATTCAGAGATGAGACTGTGACAAAATGAGAGTTGTCTACAGCGGATGGTGGAAACGGGAAAGGGCACATCAGGGTTAAGGTGCAGCAAGAAGGTAGCAAAAGTCGTAAAAAGGGTGCCCAAATGCACTTAAGAATGATTTGAGGCATGTCAGAGAATGCGGCAAAATCTGTTGCTTAAAGCTGAGGCCACATTTCGATGGGGCATTAATTTTTGGCATCATTTTCCATGCACACGAAATCGAAATGGGATCACGTATCCGGTTTTTCAGGCCAACGTTTAGCGGGAATTATAGTAGTCATATTTTGTATTTGCCGCAAATGTGACTGGATTAAAACCATGAATAGAAATTCCTGCATAATTGTCAAGTTTTGTGCCCACCGACGACTGTCAAATGCGAATGACAAACCCAAACAAGCACACACACACACACACACGACCTCTTCCCCGGCCCGGAAAAAGTGCCACAAAATCCACACAATACCAAACAACACCATTCGATAGGGGAGGGGAAACCGGTGGCAGGAGGGCGGATAAATCATGAAACATCGGCATTTTCAGCAACAGCAAAACACTGAATAAGTGATTCAATGAAGTGAATCGATGATTGAATGCGAACGTGAGCCGCAGGAGATGACTGGCAAGGGGAAGTGCAAAAAGATGTGGCGAAAATGGGGCGGGGGGCGCCTCTGTAAGCGATTTGGGTGCGATTATGGGTATGGTTGAGCCCCTGCTCCATGGCATAACTGTTTAACACTCTGCGCTGGTATTCCTTTTGTTGGCGATACCCAAGGGATGAGGCACATCCCTGGCATCACTGGGTGTGCCAGAGCTTGGATTAAGTAACCACTCGACTATCTTAGGATTTGCAACACACGGGGGGGTACACTGTTAACGCCAAAAGATCGGCTAATCTATAGCTCAGGCTTAAGCATAATTAAGAATTCTATGGGAAGTGTTTTGCAAAACGTTTTTGATGCTCTTCTTTGGGTACCACGACAGTCGATCAATCTCTTTGGCATTGTGTGACACAGCGCGACTAATTTTTCTTTTGGTGTTTGGTCTGGTCTCTTCGTGTTTCGGTATTTGGGATTACTCTGTTTTTGGGAATGGTGTCGCCTGTGCCTGTGCCTAATTTTGGAAAGGATTGCGCATCGCTAATGCTGCTGCTGCTGCTGGTGCTGCTGCTGGTGCTGCTGCTGCTGCCACCAGTCACAACAGTTCGCGTCAGTTGGCAGCAGCAGCAGCAGCAGCTTGGCCAACATGCCAGACCGCTATCCACAGCCCCTTTCTCGCTGCTCCGCTCCCCGCGCAATCCTTTTGGCCATGGGGCTGCTGTCCTCTGGCGGCGACCATGATGCTGCTCCTTTTGCTGTCATGTAGCTGCATTCAGTCGTGCATGCATGAAAGTCAATTAAGCGTATTAAGTGTGTGTGTGTGTGTGTGTGTGTGTGTGATGTCCTGTAGATATGTATATGTGTGTGTGTGTGTATGGAGTACCTCTTCTGTTCCCACTTCCTGCTGCCACGCTGTATCGCGCTGTATCATGACATTTCTTGGCATCGCCATCAAACAGCAAACGTTGTGCTCCACGTCCCACAGCCACATCCACATCCACATCCCCTTGCCAACCCCCTCTACCCACAGCCCTTTATCTGTCCCTTTCTTCAGACATCAACTGCAACCCTTTGTGGCAACTCTGCCACTATGCGCGTCGCTTCGATTTCGATTTCGATTTCTGTGTGAATTGTTTGCGGCTGATTGTGTTGCTTAATTTGCTTCAAGATAATCACACAAATACCCGCAGAAGGGGGGCAGTCATAGATCTGTTGCATGGATAACCGCGGAGTGCTCTCCCATCGAATTTGTAACATTAATTAGATATTGCAGGATAACGACTATAAGTAGTATGCAATGTTTAGTTCCTACACACATTTAACACTCCCAAACTGTTCAGAATGTTTTGCTTATCAAATGAAAATCCTTGAATTCATGTGATCAGATCCGTACGCTTCCCCCGTTTCCCCCGGCTGCTGGCATATCGTGTGCGTGTGATGTACAAATATTTGCAAATTCTCATTAGGTTGGTTTGCTTTTGCAACATCAACTCCATTAACATATCTACACCCAGTTGTTCTCTGTCTTTCAGCTTATTCCACCATTCCCCTCACGCTCTCACGCTCTTCCCCCCCCACCACTCACATTTCAGCTTGAACAGAAGACAGCATTACGCATACGCCACGTTGTTGCATTTCGTGAACTGCTGCAGAGGATAAGCAGAGCACGGACACATGTGTGGCAGGACCTTCGCCATCCGTTGCCTTGCCATCCGCCTTTAGAGTGTTAATTGTCGTATGCTAATTTTTGCGCATGCACAAAATGTAACAAAACACGATTTTGAAAGATGCAAATTGGGTGTTGCCGGAGTTGCTGTTTCCCGGGCTCCTTCTCCTGTTCCTGCTCCTGCTCCCGGGGGAAGTGAAGTGAAGTGCCCCGTAGGGTGTGGGCGGTGTGGAGTGTCAAAATAAGCTTTAAATTACGACACCCCCAACTCAACTGCTGATCCAGGGCACTGCCTCGGACTGCTGCCTCGGACTGCTGCCTCGGACTGCTGCCTCAGACTGCTGCCTCGCACTGCAGACGTGCAATGTAATTTGCAACTGACAAGAGTGAAAGTTATGCGAAGGGCAGCACAAAAAGTGTCAGAGCCACGGGGCCAGGGGCACAGCACAGGGGCATGGCTGAAGTTTCAGCCAGAACATGCAGGCATCCAGGCCGGAGGGATAGGGTTCAGTTCTGCAGCTGGAGCTGGAGCTGGTTACGGCCTGGCTCTGCTATCCTGCCCCATGCGTGATTGTGACATTTGATTAGGTTGCCTTTGTCGAAATGTTAATTTGTCCATTGAAGGTGAGTCCTGACTGCCTGGCTGGATGGAGTCCTGCCACACCCACAACCAGCAACCAGCAACCAGCAGGCAGCTGGACATTTATCAAGGCAGCTGCCTCCAAATTGCGGCATATTGTTAGTGGCCAATGGATGGGTCGTGTGGTGGGGTGGGGGGGGGGAGGTGCTTACACATGCCTGTACTTGACTGCAACTTGGATAATTATCGATTCGATGCAGCCCCAAAAACGACATAACTTGCCCAGTAACTGGCTGTGGCCAACAGGGGGAGGATATACGGTGTGCATGGGCACGGGCACGGGCACGGGCACGGAATGAACTAGTGCATTCCCGAGCAAAATGCAGAAGAGATTTGCTACAAATTGACACAAAATTTTGCGGACCAATGAAATTTACTTAGGGCCCCTCACTCACTTAATGCAAAATTTGACAAAAGACTGAGAGAGATAGAGCGACGCATAATTGCCATATAATAATCATAATCCGCACAAAGCAAACAGAATCCTACGGAAGGACACACACACACACAGCTTAGCTGTGGCTGTGGCTGTGGCACTGGCTCTGGCACTGGAGAGGCGCCACTCAAGTAGCAGGCGGCAACCGACTTCAAACTTGTCCACTAATTAAGAAGACAAACTCCGGGCGGTCTCTGTGTGCATTTCAGAAGTGAACTATTTGCTCAGGAGCAATAGCAGGCCGCTGGCAGCTGGCAGCACTTCTTAATGGAGCATTTAATAATTTAATCTTCAATTACCTGATGGATTAGATGCCCCTCTTTTTGCGTTAGGGATTCAATCATGAGTCGTGGCAGCTTCTGGCACCATTCAAGGGTGATAATTTCCATGTGCCAGCTAACAGCTAAAAACTCAACCGCTTGCTTCCATTTCCCCAGTTGATCCGATCCATGCATATATATTTTTCATTCTCTGTCCTTCCATCTGTCTCTCATTCTCCCGTTCTGCCTTTCCTTATTTCCCTATCCCGCACAAAGTGTCAAGTGGTTGAGTGGCATGCCACCAGCCATGGCCCCTGACTCGATGGCACATAAATTAAAAGGGTAAGGGCAATCGAATACCCTTTTGCTTTGGATACCCCAACCGATTGATCGTTTCTATATCATAAAATGCTTTCTAGAGAATATACATATATGTATGTATATGTTTTCCTTTGCTGTATGGCAAACATCTGCATGGTACCTTCATGGCATGGAAAGTCAGCAGGCAAAACATCCAACGAGACATTCCAACCGCACACACTCACACTCGCAATGGGGCACTCACATTCATATTCACACCCGTTCATGTGGCCGGATAAAAAGCTACTGTGGGGGAGCGAGTGGCAGGTAGGCGATGAGCAATGTGCATTGCACTTTTCCAGCTCGATTGCGCGCTCAATGAATAATTTAGTTGAAAATTTCAGCGTACTTTTTTGTTGTGCTTCCTCTCCTCCCCCCCCACGCCGCACACACACACCTGCAACTTCAACTGCAACCCCTATGCCGAGACAGACTCGTTCTGCTCATTCAGTCATAAAATTTATGCCTTTTTCCCCCGCTCCCCACCCACTGTGCAGTTGTGTTCATAAAAAACGCGCCTCATGCAACAGTTGCATGCTGCCCCCCATCCGGAGCATGAGGATCAGAGTCATAAATAAATCCTAGATAAATAAATAAATTTCTTGTATGCTTTATTGCACTTTTGCCTCAAAGTGTAGACAAGAGCAAAGATCTGAGACTACGATTGTATCGAGAATGCGGATGATTCCTCGGATGAAATCTTCTGGTCAACGCACAAGTAGGCAACGGCCAAGCCCCAAGATAGAAAGGCAGTCACTGCAGTGGCAGATCTCTTAGCGGGTTTGTGGGGGGAGGTAAACCACGTGGGGGGAAAACTCACCAAGCCACACGCTAAGGGACCAGATAGGCCAACACAGACGCAGGTAATGATACCACTTGATCACCGAGCAGTAGATGAGCAGCGTAAAGATGGTCAGGCACAGGAAGAAGACGGGCCAGGCGACGATGTACGTCCACATTAAAACCGTTTTGTGCTGCCAAGGAACACGAGAAAATACGATCACAAGATGTAGTATTTTTCTGGTCGCAGATTCTGACCTGAAAGACGCCAAAAATGAGGGGAATATGGATGAGCATCCATACAACGAAAATAATCGCCGATACATTGCCTCCCACCATACTTTTATCTATGAAATCGAGAGTTGCTGAGATTTCTATGCGATGTTCGATTGATGGGATCACCTGTCAGGACACACGACACCAGCAGAATGAATGCAGTCAGCATGTTGAATGTTGCTGTGAAATACAGGAAGCAGGCAATCAGTGAGGGCACGCACATATTTTTATCGGGATATCATTTGATGTGAATCTCCCAGCAGCCCTTTTGTCACAATCAATATCGATTATGCGGACCTTCTGGGACCCATGTCGGATTAATTAGCTTTCGATATGACTGATGGCAGGATGAAGTGCGCTGTGGGGGAGGTGGGTGGGTGGGTGGGTAAATGTATGTAGGTATTGTCCCCATTAGACCCCCTCGCGTCTCATGGCAAAGCGGAAAACTCATTTATCAAAATGGCCAGAGAGCAACGCCTGACCTAAGGCCTCCCGCAGGCTGTCTTGGAATTGCAACAAGAGGGGGGACAAAAAAAAACCATCGGATGAGCAGAGAGCAACCGCAAAAAATGCAACAAATTTTTGGTGAGAATCCAAGAAAAAACAAAAAAAAAAAAACTAAATGATGAAGAAGACAGGAAAAGAAAGGATGAAGGAAAGTTCCCGAGGCGCCCAGGGCCCAGGCACCCATAAATCATAAAAATTCCATGCCCGTCGTCGTCTCTATAATCTTGGCCATGGCGGCTCTTGGCTCTTGGCCGGGCAGCGGCAGCGGCAGCGGCAGAGGGCCACTAGGACTACTATGATGCTGCAATTTGTAGCTGGCAAAGTGTGAAATTGCGTTGGCAACGCGAATTGTTTTGCCCCCTTCGACTGGCTACTTCTTTTGGGCTACTGGCAAGTCGGTTTATAGGTTCTTAAAGTAGGAAAAAAAAATAATGCATGTCTACATCGAATGATTTGCCACAACAGCAAACTCGCAAAATAAATCAATTAACCTGGGCTCGCACTCATTTAAAAGCTGTATTCCAGTTCCCAATTTGAACCTGGCCACTCCCCCTCCCCCCAACCGCCCACAACCTGCAGCAAGGCAAGTGCTGTGCTGTGTGGCAGCCAGACCCTATGCCTAATTGATATAAACGACTGTCTCCTACAGTTCGTAATACAAAATAAACAGAAAAGCAGCAGAAACAGAACAATGGTGGAAAAAAAAAAAAAAAACAAAAAGCAGCGTGGAAAAGAAAGGACTCGCTTTCACAGCTTTCACTGACTGCTGCTGTTCTGCTGTTCTTTATATTAAAATTTATGCCGGCGGTGGTCTCTGAATGAAAGTTGCACTTTTTTTTCCTTTCAGCAGCAAGAGTTAAGTCCTTTCCAGCAGTAAGTGTTTGGCAAAAGGAATAATACGCAGCAGCAGCAGTAGCAACAGAAGCAGGCTAATGCAATTCCACACATTTATTCGCACCTCATCGCAGGGAACCAGACCAGACCAGACCAGACCTAGCCCATGAATCGTTCGCACTATGAAAACCCCTGACATGCAACAGAATTTATAATCGCACACAGCTCCCTGCTCCGACTCCACACACAGCTGATGCCATAAAGAGTCTGGCGAGGGCTCCAAAAGGCAATGCCGAAGGCTGGCATACCCTGGATTAGATTTTGCAATGGCAGCAGCACTGTAAAATCTTCGATAAAATCCAAGGAGATCTCATTCCATCTCGTTCCGGTTGGTAGAGTGATGCTTTCACTTCCATCTGAACAATCTGCAATGCCTATGGCAATCGTTGCAGCTGTTGCAAATTCCCTGTCAAAATTATCATGCCCCCATCCAGACGGCTACACGGTGCAAAACACTCACAAAATTTTGCGTACGCCAGTTATAGGCGGTGGGTGTCGCTAAGTGGGCGTGTCGATAGCATCACACAGTGCAGGCGGTGGCAGCGAGTGCGCCACTGGCGCAGTGGCAACAGCAAAATGGGTGGCAGAGTCAGAGGAAAGCGCTTTGGCCGGGCATCGTTTAATGGCGTTGCCTGCAAAAGTGCGTGTCTCGATTTCTACATAATTAAACTACGCCAGCTATGCTCAGTGCCCCGTGCCCCAACATGCCACACCACACCACACCACACCGATGGCTGTACCTTTTGGTGCAGGTGCAGGCAGGTGCATGCCACCAACATCACTTCCGGTTAGCCCCGTTTTAAGCGCAGCTTGGCCTGGGGCTAGGGACTGCGTTCCCGTTGCCTTTGCCCTGCCACCCTGCTGCTGGACAACTTTGCCGCTAAAGTTTGTAGTGCACGTGCCCTGCCTCAGCACCCGGACGTGGAGGAGCCCTAATAGGCAGGTGGTAGAGCGAGGGGCAGACAGGTTGGCTATCGAGTTGGGCCTGGCCAGGGCGGCAGGCGACAAAAGTGTCAGCTATCCAGCTATAGCGATTCGAAAGCCAATCAATTAAATAAACGGCAAATTTCTAAGCAAATTGTTGATCAAGTTTTAAGTGCAGACAGCGTGGAATTAAATATAATAAAAAATTTTAAATAAATAAATAAATATAATAAAAATTTAAAGTAAATAAATAATAAATAAATATAATAAAAATTTAAAATAAATAAATATAATAAAAATGTACAGTAAATAAATATACATAATAAAAATTTAACGTAACGTAAAGTAAATAAATATAATAAAAATTTTAAAGGTAAATAAATAATAAATAAATAATAATAAATAAAGTGGGAAATTTGTAGGAAATATATATTAAATTTTCCTTTTTGTGTGTGTTTGGGATCGTAACCCCCCAAAAGCCAAACATACACATACTTATAAGAGGTTCTTGTGCTTCCTGGCAAACTTTTGCCGGGTGCACAATTCTTAGATTGCAGTTTTGGGCTTTTGTTGATGATGTTGCTGCTGTAACTGCGTCTCTCTCGCTCTCTCCTTGCCTCGTTTGCACGCAAATTTGTTGAAATTATTTCGAGCAGTTCTAAATTTGGCAATAACGAGCCGCACTTGACGGCCATACAAATTGCATTTGGCCAGCCTGTAGCCAGGCAGCATGAAGAAGGAGCAGTAGCAGTAGCAGCAGCACCAGCAGCAGAAGCTGAACACACAAGTTGTTGCCGGTTGGAGCAGCAGCCTGCAGGCCGCAGACTTGCAGGCACAAAACTTTTGCCCTGCCGCCGCCGCCGCCGCTTGGCATCGCCAGACTTGAGGGATACTACATAATTAAATAGCTGGAGCATGTGCAGCCCGAGCACACACACCACCAGATTACACAGCGCAGTTTAAGGCAAAGATTTGGCCAACTTAAGTGGCCAAAATATTTGTGCAAAGTTTTAACTTTTTTTTTTTTTATTTGATTTATTTTTGTTAGTGGCAGAGAACCCCAGAGAAATCTTTTTGATTTAGCTGCAGAGCCATTAACACGGATTGATTGCCCCCAAGGACAAAAGATGGCAAGTGGCTTAAAGGACAAGCATCAAGCGTTGCTCTGGGGCAAGGACACCATCGGCAAACTGGATGGTGTGTGCAAGCGGGGCGGGTGGTAGGTGCGACGAGCTGGTTGGTGTGCGTGCAAAGAAATTGAAAAGTTGCCGCTTGTCGCACGTCTCTCTCACGCACACCCCATTTTCTGTCCCCCCTCCTTTTGGCTTTTGGCAATTGATTTCTACTAAGAAAAAGATTTTGAATCGGTCCCAAATTTGGTCAGTGGGCTACTCTCCATTATCCCCCTGCTCTATGTCGCTACATGACAGCAAGCTGTCAAATCACGTTGCATGTCCTGCTGGCCATAAAACGCTAACTGCTAAGAGGCAAAAAAGCCTCAACGAAGAAAGTTATCGATTAAACAGCGGAGGAGGCAGCCAAAGCGGCGGTCGTTGCTTTTGTTGTGCATTTCCTGCCGGTTCCTGGCAATATTAAAGACAAAATGCAAGAAAGAAAATTGAAAACTTGTGCGCCACAGTGCCTGTCAAATGTGCGTGGCCTGTCAACATAATTCAGCAACTGATTGAATAGAGCTTTTTCTCCCTGTCATAAATTAGTTGCGCGATCTGCCCGATTCGGGGCCTCCTCTTTTGTTTCGGAAACTTTTGCTAGTTTTAAAATCAAATGCCTCATTTGTGGGGCTTGCCGGAGTCGTACACGGACCAGGGCGCCGGGTGAGTTGGGGGGGGGGCCAAACCCCAACGAGCCGGAGGCAGGCCACAAAGATTAATTTGTTATGGCTGTGGCAGCTACCGGGTTGGGACTCCAGCTCAACGCCACAGAGCACCCTTGGTATGGGGCGGCTGTGCCCTGGCTGTGGAATTTTTAGCGCAGCACTAAAGGTGCAAAGGAATTTAATTAAATGCTCTCCTCCATTCTGGCACTGCGAAACTTTTACAGCATTGCAGCCAGCTCTGGCACTCTGGTCCTGGCGGGAGGACAATGCCAACTGTTTGTCAGGCAGCCAGGCAGGCATTTGCGACGGGTGCCTGCTTTCGGCTAGGGCTGCCCCACGAGTGCAGCTCAATAAACTAAACAAATTTGCATAGTTCCAGGCTCTAGCCCTCGACTTTCAGACCCCTTCTGGCCCCCACAAGGCACAGTAAGGAGCAGTGAAGAGAAAGGCCAAGCCACTAGGAACATCCAGGGCAAGTCTTTGTTGAATAATATATTGGGGCATACACAACCTTTCGTAAGAAAACACACACACAAGCAAGACCTGGCACACAAATCGATGGAAAAGTATGCCGATTATCTCTTTAAAATGGATTATAACGCGTTGACAGTCAGTCAGCCTCAAAAGCTTTGCCCTTCAAGAGCATCCATCATAATCAAAATGGAAACCAAGTCTCTGAAACTCTTTCCATCACTGCCGCATCGTTTGCTCGATTGACCATCAGGCAGGCATCTCCATTTCCAATTCCATTTCCATCTGCATTTGCATCTCCATCTTCCTCGTGCCTTATGCCCTATGCCCCATCCATACAGAGTCGCATACACACAAGAGTGGAACGTTCTAAAGAGTTCATAATCCGAAATGTACACAAACCCAGACGACGACGATGAGAGCTGGGAGACCAGACCAGGACCAGGACCAGAACCAGAACCAGAACAAGGACCAGAACAAGCACCAGGAGCTAGTAAAACAAACTGATCAATGGGCTATAATACGAGTACGACTGACGGGGCGGACAGGGACAGGGACAGGGACAGGGACAGGGAGACCCATGGCCAGACA